GTTGAGAAAGAAAACAAGGGTGTATTGGATCCGTGCATTGACAGCAGCCGCTGCCGCCAGTCATTAATGTTAATTTAAAGAACGAAAGAAAAGAAAATCCCTCACTGATGTTGACTGAATCACTTTTGTAACCTCATTTTATATTTTATTTGTCTGCTGTTTGGCGCTGACTACTGTAATGGCAACGTGCATCTGTGTATGCGATTATTTTGGAGATGCGTTCCAATATAATTTATCCTTATTTAGGGTATAGGCCTATTTAGGGGTGTGCGATATATATCGTCTGCGATATCGTAATTGTTGTTTTAACGATGTGCGATTTGACATTATCGAGTATTTTGCAAAAACCATTCAAAACATCCCTACAGAGCGCACGCATACATTACGTGAAGTCTAGACTAGTGCGTGTGCGCATTTAGTGTGTTTTCTTTCACTGCATGATTCAGTCTATTATAATGCATTTAGAATGATCACAAATTCAAGACATGATGGCAGAAAATTTATATATTTATACCACTTCATATAGTTATTCAATTTCACACGAAGAGTGCCGTTTTTCTCCAAAAATTACCATGATTACAAATGTGACATTGAATTCAATAAACAATAAGTTAATTAAGAGACTTACGTTTTAGACACCATATTGCTTGTTTTTGCTCTATTTGGCCAACAAAAATCATTCCGAATACAGCCTCAGCGCTGTTTTGTGTCTCTGAGCAACATGACGGTGTTTCTTTCTTGAATGAATCAACCGTTTAAATGATTCGTTTCAATCGCAATGACTCACTTATTAAGAGTGATTTGCTGCCACCTGCTGGCGGTTTTAATTTCGGCTTTTTCTTTCTTTTCTTTTCTTTTTTTTTCTTTTTTTTCTTTTTTTCATGTTTTAAATCATTTCAAATATCAGTATTCAACGTTTTATGTTTAATATATCAAAACATTATTTATGCATTTGTAATTGCAGGTTAAATGCATTCATGTCTTGCATTAAACAAAATACATGTGTGTAAATACATCTAAATGCCACTTCAGATGCAGCTTCTGTGTTGATTTAATTTGCTTGGTAACAGCCCAAATGTCTTATTATTCTAATTCCCTGATTAAATGTAAGAATTTGACTCAAAAGATAATGGACACTTTTAGAAAAAATGGCTTTATAAAGGTAAAAATGCCCATAAAATGCAAAAATCAGTTTAAACTTATTGGAAAAGATTAATTTCTATCAGTATGAACTGACCAGCACACAGAATATGAAGATTATTAAAAACATTAGGAGTCAGCTGTCTTCGGCAGTCCTTAAGGTACCAGCACAATAACACACTCAGCAAAATATCGTCTAATTATCGTTATCGATAAAATCCCATAAAATATCGAGATACAATTTTTTGTCAATATCGCACACCCCTAACGCAGCTTGACCTAAAGATGACTTTACACGTCCGTGTTCAGTTCCGTCTCTGAGCGCATACACACATATTCTCCCGAGGAAGCACAAGTTCTCTTTAGCACTTTTAAAAACATGAATAAATCTAATACACTTCAATAAATCAAGCACATCCCATTTGGCAAAGGTTACGTTAAATGATTTTACTGATTTGCAAGTGAAATTGGGCTTTTATAGAGGAACGAAAGCGCACCGCTGTAAAGAGGGCGGAATGGGGTGGAATAATCATTTTATCTCGATTATTGTATTTTCATAATCGCTGGAGGCTGAAATCGAAACGTTTTTTCGATTAATTGCACAGCCCTACATAAAAGTGTGAAATTGAAATAAATAATTTTAAAATAAAAAACCTCTAAATAAAACACTTATTAAAAAGAAATTAAATCATAATAATAATATAAAATTGAGATATTTTTTAAATCAAAATAAAACACTTATTAAAATTAAAACTTAAAATAAAAAATAAAAATGTCAAGTTGAAATACACTGAACAAAATTATAAACACGACACTTTTGTTTTTGCACCCATTTTTCATGAGCTGAACTCAAAGGTGTTGCTAGGCTACCTGGGGTGGTTGCTAAGGTGTTGCTAGGCTACCTGGGGTGGTTGCTAAGGTGTTGCTAGGCTACCTGGGGTGGTTGCTAAGGTGTTGCTATGCGGTTGCTAGGCTACCCGGGCTGTTTGCTAGGGTGTTGCTATGTGGTTGCTAGGGTACTCAGTGTGGTTGCTAAGGACGTTGTTCTTATTGTTGAGAGAACACAAAAGTCTTACTGCATCAAGTTGCCTTATTTTTTTTACGTTTTCTCAACTATTTATTTTTTACATTGCTGGTTAAACTAGCAGACAACCAGCAGCATGAGGAGAGCAGAACCTGTGGGTGAGCTGGGCTTCTCCGGCACAGGAACACGAGCGCCGCCGCCGAACACAGACACCCACAGCCTGCTGTTGAGCGGGTGAGCGACGATGCGGAAGAGCTCGTGGCTGGAGTGAGTGGCCAGACCGTGGACGAACAGGCTGAGGATGACGGCGGTCAGGATCTCACACAGGAGCACAGGCAGACCAGGCTGGTTCTCGTCTCCAGACGCACTCAGCAGCCGCATCAGGACGCTCACACCTGCACAGACACACAGGTAAGTCTGGAGTCTGACGATGAGCTCAGGGGTCAGAGGTCACGGTGCTTTACCAGGCCACTGCGCAGGAGAGGTGTTGGGCAGGATGGCCTCCTCGATGCTGACGCTCCTCACCGGGGGCTGATGGGTAAGCAGGACGCTCTGGTAGGTGATGCCCGTGAACGGATTCACATGGCTGAGGAAAAACATACATATTAGAATTAGGGTGTTAATTTGGATTGGATTTTGGATTTGAATCCATGGTTTTGAACAAATCAAATAGCTACGTTTAAAATCGAGTAGCTATGTTTCCATCCAAAGATTTGAATTTAACTTATGTGCAAAACTGGAATATCGCATTTGCGAACTAAGAAAACTAGGAGAAGCCACTGAATATAATAATTTTCATATATAATAAATTACATGCAGCTCAAGAGCGAGCAGACGAAACACAATAAATGCGGTCATTGCTTTCGGAGGTGGATTTTTGCTGTTTGGGAACGCAGTCATGTAAGACAATTATACAGAAATACTTTGATGACAGATTTTGCTCATGCATTTCAGAACGACCAAAACAACATTTCAGATGCTGTGCAACGAGATCGGTCCGCTGGTTAGTCAAGCTATCCCGTCTCTTAGCGCAAAATCACATGACTTTTTCAATGCGCATGGAGGAATTTATTTGGTAAATGTGTTTCCATCATAGTTTATGCACATTTTTCTTATCGCATAAAAAGTTTATCCTACTCAAATGTGCGCGTAAGTGTTTTATGCGCATTTTTAGAATTTATGTGCATCTTGGCGTTTCCATCCAGCGTTTTTTTATGCGATATTCCAAAATGCGTATAAAAATAGGTGGATGGAAACAGCTAGTGATTCAGTGACTCATTCATAAAGACAGTCACCTGCTTCGTTTCTGAATGAATCAACGGTTTTGAACAAATCGAGTGACTCAATGATTCAGTGACTCACTCATTAAGACAGTGACTCGTCGCCACCTACTGGCTTTTTTTTGTTTCATTTTTTGTGTATCATTAAATAATTAAAAAAAAATAATTTCATATTCAATACCTTATTTAGACCTGTTTATCATTATTTAAGTGATGTTAAATCAAAATATTTCTTTCTAAAGCAATTTTTGTAATGTCTATTGAATGGTTTTTCATCTAAAAAATTATCATTTGGGGGGCGATTTCTCAGCCAAAATGTATGTGAGATTAATTTGTAATTAAACAGATTATTGGACACATCATGTAATTAGATTACATTTTTTAATAATTGTTCAATTTAAAATTAAAAAAAAAACATTTATAATGCTTTTTAAAGGCATGATGAAACAAGCTTCAACAGATCTTTTTTCTGTATTGACATCCGAGTGAAGTGGATTATCGAAAAAGCATAAATGTGGGGCGGGACTTGGTTCTATACATTAGTTGTTGATTGGATGTTAAGAAGTGGGCGTGGTGCTCAATGGTGGAGGCGGAGCTGAGCGTTAGAATGGAGGGGTGGAGTTTAAGCAGACTGAATGATTGAAGAAATCCTGCATCACCAGAGAGAAGATCCAGTTATGACATTTAGATTATACATTACGAGCTCGGAACATTTGCAAAAATTAAACATGCACAGATTGCTCATAGTAAGATCTATATCATGCATTTAGAAAATGGATTTTCATTTCATGATGCCTTTAAAAGGCTTAGTTCATCCATCACCCTCATATTGTCACAAACCCGCATCTCTTCAATCTCATTTGCTGTCTCTGGTCTCTATTCATTTACTGTCCAAAGAAGAGCATTCATAAAGAAAGCCAAAGGCCACTTTCATCTGTAAATGCCACACATCACATGAGCATTACATTCATGGGTCATCCGCTCATTATCAGACTGAGCGATTACAAGACACACAAATGTGAGCCGTGCTGGCAGAATGAGTGTGAATGCACACGGTGTAATTTTGAGCTAGAGGTCTACACGGAGGACCCGAGACCCGAGGACCCGGGACCCGACCCGGGATCCGTATGGATTTGGGGCTATATTTTAAATAGTCAGCCGGGTCCGGGTCGGGTCCCAATCTATTACTTCGGGTCCCGGGTCTGTTTAACATTGTGTAATACCCGAGTCGATCGGACTCGGAGAACACCCGGCCGTTATCAGAGTCAGTCAGCGCTGTGCGTGTGTTGTTTTGTAACTTTCAACTTGTAAAATTAGGATGAGAAAAGTGTGAGTCGGTAATTTGAAATAAGGTGGAAAAAAAAAAACACGGGCGACGTCATCAGAAGCAGGGTGGGCGGAGTTAATGCACACGCGTGGTGATAATGGATACCTTCATGAGTGATGCGAGTTATTATTGATTATTTTTTTAATATTATGAATGAACCGTCTTGTTGTTATATCTAAAATTTTTGCTCAGACTCGGCTCAGAGAGCACAGAGATGATAGCAAATAAGTAAAGCTAACGTCAGCAGCATATAGCACTGGACGAGCAATCGTAATTATAATCCAAATGGGCAAACAGTCTAAATTATTATGCAAGTTGACTCGAGATACAAAAAAAATGCAAAACTGCAAAGTCGCATTTGTCATCCGTCACCGTGACAGCAAGTGGACTTTTGAAACTGGAATAATGAGTGGATTACGCATTTCAATTGGCAAGAGTGGAATAACACGGATGGAACTTTCTTGGCAAAGAGGATTGTGTGCATCACAGTCAGGTACAAGGGAGAAGGCTTCTTACATTAGGTAAGACAAAAAGTTAAATTTTCGCAACTTGTTTATCGACTTGTTAATAGCAATTTGCTGTGGAATATGTACCGATCGGGTCCAGTCGGGTCTGTGTCTTCCCGGCCGGGTTCGGGTCCATCTTTCAAATAAATGATGGTCCGTGTCGGTTCCGGGTAGTACATTTTTGACATTTCTCGGTTCTGCACGGGCCCGGGTCCAACTTTCAAAATAATAGACGGGTCCGGGTCGGTTCAGTGTAGCACATTTACGGGTCTCTTCGGGTTCGGGTACGAATTTTTGGACCCGTGTAGACCTCTATTTTGAGCTACATGCAAAAAAAAGTGAAAAATGTCAATTTTAGTCGAATTTGAGGTTTTCACAAAAATGAGTTCATTAAGCCCTCTTCTAGCGATCCCAATGCTCCAGATAGTAATTAAACATCTAAAATCAACTTTATTTGTACGTTTTCTGAGAGGAGTACCAATCTGTGCGATCCCGATAAATATACACATATACACTGAAGCACAGTATTTAAGTATTCATGCAAACATATCTGTTCTGTCTGAAGTGAACGTTTAGGGAAAAACATCTGATGTGTAACATTAGATCCATGCATTACAGTAGGTCTTAATATATAGGCCGTCTGTCGCATTAATATTAATCAAACAATAAAAGAAAAGAGGGAATCACTCACTACTCTTGATTGAACTGCTTTTGTAGTTTTAATAATCAATAATAAAGGGATTTTTTACATGTAATTATTTGTTTTTCTGACTTGAATGCTTTTGTTTAGAAGTGAAATGAAAAAGGTAATGCATTATTTGTTTCTTTCTTATATTTGTTCTACTGTTTTTTTTTTTTGTTCTATCTGTTCTTGTTTACAATAACAAAGATAAAATAAAAAAGCTATATTTTGATTATTAATATAGTAATTGTGACCCTGGAGCACAAAAACAGTCATAAGGGTCAATTTTTTTAAATTGAGATTTATGCATCATAATAAATATATTAATAAATAATCTTTCCATTGATGTATGGTTTGTTAGGATAGGACAATATTTGAAAATCTGGAATCTGAGGGTGCAAAAAAATCTAAATATTGAGAAAATCATCTTTAAAGTTGTTCAAATGAAGTTCTTAGCAATGTATATTACTAATCAAAAATTAAGTTTTGATATATTTACGGTAGGAGATTTACAAAATATCTTCATGGAACATGATCTTTACTTAATATCCTAATGATTTTTGGCATAAAAGAGAAATGTATAATTTTGACCCATACAATGTATTGTTGGCTATTGCTACAAATATACCCCAGCGACTTAACACTGCTTTTGTGCTGCAGGGACACATATATTATTAAGAAAAGAACTGGAGGAAAAGATGCAATGTTGCTCTGTGATTTTGCTTTGGAACCTTCAGAAAACTATGACTCAATTTTTCTCAAATTTGACTTTGCTGACTCTATCAACTTCAAACAGGTGCAGCTCAGTCATTTTTCGTCCGGTTGCAACAAACCATGCATCATTTTAGAAGGTTTTAAAATAAAAATAACTCATTTTTGTAAATTTGCTCACCGTGACTCATTTTGCCAGCACTGGTCACAAAAAGTTGCAAATGAAGAGAAACGTTCCATAACAAAGAATCAAATCAGTGATGAGGGCAGAGGTCACGGGGTCATCGTGAGGCCGACAGACACACCCACCTGTAGCTGTGTCCGTCACAGAGACACTGATAGATGCAGGCGGAGAGGGAAGCCGCTAGCGTGTGCATCACGTAGATCTGAGACAGAAGACAGACGTGTTAGAGGACCAAGCACGACAGTAACGACACCTCGTTCTAGGGGTGCAACGGTTCAACTTACTCACAGTTCGGTTCGTATCACAGTTTTAGAGTCACGGTTTCGGTATGTGCTATGTTTAGGCAAAAAATAAAAATAAAGAAAATAAGAATAATCTATCTAACTACCAGCAACAGCACAAATAAATACAATAGAGTAAAGATACAAATAAAATAAGGTTTTTTTAGGTAGGTCTAACATTAGTTTTCAGGTACAGAAATTGAATACAGTAATGAAATGTAAAACAGCATTGCATATATGACTATAAATTAAAGATGAATCTTTATTAAAGTTACAAAAGCTATTCAATCAAGAGCAGCGAGTGATTTCTTTGTTGTTGCTGTTTGATTAATATTAAGAAAGTGCTGTCACTTTAAGAGAACGCACTGATACAGATGTCTGTGTCTGCTATAGGATACTTACCAAGACGGGCTTTCTGACGTAATTTTGTGTGAATTTGTCCATTTAAACAATACTTCAGAGAGAGCTTAATATTTGCGCGCGTTCTGAGGCGCTTCGGATGAGCGCACGCACAAATCTTCACGTCCTCTGGCTCTTAAATGTTTAAACTGGCAAAGCTTACATGAGTTTAGCTTAAACACAGATATCAGCGTGTGCTGTTCAGGTCTCACCTGTGCGCGCGCGCTATCAGCAGCCGGGTGATGACGGAATAAATGACTGCTTATATTCCAGCATACGCCATTCGCATTGAACAAGAGTGAATGGTTTGTCCACGGGTTTTTTTCATCGCTGTTGTTGTAATGTATTGGAAGCCAGAATGCGCATCCATCAACAGAAACATATATTAGCCGAACCCTGTTTGTTTTACGTGTTATTTATAGCAAACTATATTACAGATGCGTTGTCAGATTTAAGTTGAACCGCAGTCCTAGCGCGTGCCGAACCGTGTGTGGAGAACCGTTCCACCACTACCTCGTTCTGATGAGCCACGCTTCACCTCGTTGTTGACGATATCCGGGTGCGGAGGCACGTCCAGAGCGTTGATGGTGTGCAGTATGTCATGCGTGAGGTTGGTCAGGTGCACTATGGGATTGGCCACCACTGTTTTGGAGCTGGCGGTCCACGCCAGGAAAAGAGGAACAGACAGGTGCTGCGGAGCGGGAACGGAGATCTGCAGACTGTCGTCCTGGTGAGAGAGAGAAAACATAATAACATAATGCCCGGGAGACAGAAACTACGGTGGCTCAGAGAGCTCAAGCGCTGCAACTTCAGAAAACACGTGCAAGTAGAAAAAGCACCAGCAAATTATGAAAACATCTTCATCAGTTTGACAGCACATGCGCTGCAAATACTCACAACACAAACAAATACAGAAACGCGCAAGTCGCACAAACCACAAAATCACCACAACAAAACGAAAACTAACCATATTTTATTTTCTTTGGGAATATTGATTACCTTTTGTATAACCACAGTTGTATAAATACCATGGTTAAACTATGGTTAGTGTAGTAAATCCATGGTTAATTTGTGCATGGTTTAGCTATAGCAACCATTTTTTGTTTTTATTTATTTTTTATATAATAAATGTATTTATTAATAAAATCAATTTTAATACCATAGGCTATTTTTGTAGAGGAAGTTGTAAAAGTAAGTTTGCCAGTTTTAATAACCTTTCACACTTACAGTAACTGTGTACTTCGTCAGCTTATTTAGGCTAATATCCAAAAACAAAAAAACAAAACAAAAAAAAGCTATAAGGAATCGTATGAGCAGGATGTTAAAATAAACAAAAATCTCACCTTTCAGAGCAAACACTCATAAATATGTCCCAGCCACATTCGTCACTTTGCGGATCCCTTAAACATTTCCGATGTGATCTGTGCATATTTGCAGCGCACTTCTTTATTTGTTTGTGTTGCGAGTATTTGCAGTGCGCGTGTTTTTAAATTGATGTTTTCTTATTTTTATTTGCAGTGCGTTGAGCTCTCTCGGCCACCGTAAGAAACAACAGAAAATGAAAATTAGCCCATGTTTTACTCACCCTCAAGGCATCCTAGGTGTATGTGACTTTCTTCTTTCAGACGAATCTAATCGGAGTTATATTAAAAATTATCCTGGCTCCAAGCGTTAGAATGGGAGTAGATGGGTGTTTTTGTTCAACAGTCCAAAAGAAGTCAAATAAAGCGCATGCATCCATAATAAAATGTGCCTCCTGTAGCGAATTCATGTGTTTTTGTCAGAAAAACATCCATATTTAAAACGTTATAAACACTTTTCTCTCACTTCTGCTAACTGTTGTACGTGGATTTTTCGTACAAAAATACATCGATTCGCTACAGGAGGCCTTTAGTCACACCCCGGAGCCGTGAGAGCAGTGTTGGGTGCGTTACTATAAAAAAGAAATTAATTACTAATTACACCTTCAACGGTGTAATTAGATTACCGTACTAATCACTCTCTCTTAAAAGTATTGCATTACTTATTAGTTTCTTAATTTAAGCAATTTTGTATTTGAAAGAATTACAAATGTTTTCATGTCTATCCTTGTATTGTTTAACTTAACCAGTTGAACAACATGAAACTGCTCTTTTAAATACATAATATAAAATTGCATAAATTATTCTTGAACTGTCCAGTGTTTAAAGGTAGAAGGTTACATTAAACACACATTTTAATATTAGATGTTAAATCCACTATTGTTTTAAATAGAATTATTCTATAGTCTATGCAGTATTTAATACAATTACATCAGAAGTAACAGTAATTAAATTACAGAAAAATGAAGAGCAATCCCTTACTTTACTTTTTCAAGGGAAATGTAATTAAATTACAGTAATTAATTACTTTGTAATGCATTACACCCAACACTGCGTGTGAGGTATGTTTTATTATGGATGCATGCGCTTTATTTGACTTCTTTTGGACTGTTGAACAAAAACACCCATCTACTCCCATTCTAACGCTTGGAAGAGCAAGGATCATTTTTAATATACACTGCCGGTCAAAAGTTTGGGATCAGTAAGAGTTGTAATGTTTTTAAAGAAGTGTCTTCTGTTCATAAGAAAGTCATATACACCTAGGATGCCTTGAGGGTGAGTAAAACATGGGCTAATTTAAATTTTTGGGTTAACTAACCCTTTAAGATCCGATTCAAGTGATTCAATCCAAATTTTTTAAAATGGAAATGTCCTAGCCTTATGAGCAGTTGATTTATGCTAATCGACGGACTGTTAAGTTAATAATTATGTTTATTATATTAATGTTTCAGCATGTTACAATCATTTATATGGCTTGAGTTAAGGTAGCCTATCTTCTGAATTAAACAGTTTATCATACAGATTGAAAGCGTGAATCCCGTCTCTCTCTGTTTATGGGGATTTGTGCGTGTATGCGGGGGAGGAGTGCGATTTTCTAATAATAATCGAATAATACCCAGAGATTTTGCCTTATAATGTCAGAAAACGAACGCTTTGGGCTGGTTTGAATCAACTCCTTCAGCACAACTGAAGCCCTTAACTGTAACATCTCAATCCTGTCGAGCTAATTCAGTTTAATGTCTTTATTTTTAATAATACTAGAAGACAACTTGTAGTTCTAGATGCTACGGCACAGTCAATTCCCACACTTTGCGCACCTACTGATAAGAGCCTGGAGCTTTTTAGCAGGGTTGCCAGGTTTTCACAATAAAGCCCGCTCAATTGCTACTCAAAACTAGCCCAATCGCGTTTCGACGGGGGTCCCCCATTAAAAATAACGTTCCGGAGTGTAAAATACACGTGCTTTGTCCGGGTTTCCCCTGGTAAATTCACATTCCAGGGGCTAAATATGACGATATCGGGGTCGCTTCGACCCACGGACATCAAAAACAACAGTGGTAAAGTAGCCCAATTCCTCGGGAAAACAGCGGACTTGGCAACACTGTATTTAAGGTCAGGAATCGAATACATGTTGTAAAATTTAAATTTAAATTCCACCTATCAATTCCTGTGTGTGCATCTTTAGGTGGTGAAAAGTGGCTGTTAAAAATTTATTTGTCTTTACATAATTCATTCAAGAGATTCATTCAAAAACACTGATTCATCCAGTAATAAAACAAGTAAATCTTGAGTCATTGACTACGTTTACATGCACACAAATAATGCGATTACTTCCAATAATCAGAGAAAGGACTTAATCGCATTATGATGTTTACATGTCAAGAGCAAAGCTCTTCACTCCCGTTTACATGCAATTTCTATTATTCTTATTGATCGCTAAGAGTTAATTTTTACTGCCATTATTCACTGCTCAGCACAAATGAGCAGGTGTGTTACTGGCCACTGTTTTAATTTATTTACGTCTAATGCAAAACACTTTTGTATGGTTGTATTCCATGCTTTTTCGGCGCCTTAGAAATGTGATGGAATTCGTTTGCTAGTCAGCAAAATATATAACACCGTTCTAGTGGTTTTTGGATATTTTAATAAAAACCTTACATATTGTGCCTTTAATCGAGTTTAATCGATTTTTGTTCATGGTATTATTCAGCAGCAATTAAATGTTTTGCAAAAAGAGACACAGAATAAATATGTTTGATATCTAAATGTTTGACTTTTATTAACCACATTGAAACTGGGAATTGATAAGAATTGGAATCGATTATCGGAATTGGAATTGATCAAATTCAAACGATACCCAACCCTAGTTCTGAGGTGAATCCACGTGCATGAACACATAAGCACTAGAAAGTTTAAGCCTTGTCCAGTGTCTGCGCTATTTCTCTCCAGAAATTACGAGCGATAAAAATGTCTTTGCATTGGTTTAAACTAGAGTTGTGTGGATCTCTGACATCTCTGCGCGTCAATGCGGGCAATTTGTTGTAGTGTGCTGTTGTTCCACCACTTTTGTGGTATTGAAGAACCTTTCAGTTCTTAAAATAATAATTTTTTCTTAGTGTGTAGAGCATTTTAATAATCTAAAGAACCTTTTTACACTACAAACAACTTTTTGTGCACTGGAAAGGCTCATGGAAGCATAGATGTGGCCAATACAGTGCTGCAGTGATGACGTATGTATGTAATTTCAAAGTATTTTCACCTCATAAATTACTACACTACTTGTGAAGTCACAATTCTCTAACAGTACAATTTACTCAGGCCGATGACATTTTTTGTAGTATGATAATAAAATTCTTTTAAAAATAATTGTACATAAATTGTCACTTATTTTCCATTTCTGAAGTTAATTCTGCAACCCTAATGATGACGTAATTATCTTTTGACTCCCCTGACAGCGGCACCTTGCTCAAAAAAAAAAAAAAGTCAGTTGTTGGAGATATGTGTGCAAAAAAAAAAAATAAAAAAAAAATATATATATAGATAGATAAACACAAATGGACAATAGAAAGTGCAAAGACGGCAATGATAAGGCCAGTACAAAAAAAAAAGAAAGTCTTTAGCTAAAAGACACATCTTTTTCGCCATCACCTGACCAATTAATACTAGCACTTGCCTATTCAATTCTATTCGTTTTGGTCTAATTTATAAAAAAAAAAAAAAAAAAACCTTGCTATGTGCACTGTGCTAGACTAACTGAGACTTGTCACTCTCTCGTTGGTCTGATTGCTTCTACTTTGTAAGTCGCTTTGGATAAAAGCGTCTGCTAAATGACTAAATGTAAATGTTTACGTCAAAACTGAAACCAAGCCGTTCACACAGAATGCATATTTTGCACACTTTCTAGAGGGACATCTATCAGCGTTGCACTCGCGTCTCGCACAAGAGAGCCGCATGTTTAGAAAGCCATGTAAAATTAAAGTTCAACTTTTAAAAAAACATGTCTTGAGACTTTATGGCTGTTTTCTTTGCATCCCACTGCATCTCATGTTTTTAAATGAAAAAGTAGTCCGTGATTGGCTTTCATCCATTTGTATTCAACTATGCATGCATGATGCTGTTTTGTTTATAATTGTTTAAGCAAATACATATTTGCACATGCACTTTTTCACAGATAGTCATGTTATTTTATTGCTTTGAAGAAACGTGCATTAGTAATATTTTGCTTGATGCGCCCTCTTGTGGAGAGAAGCCAAAAGCAGTTTTCACCCTAACTGAAATCATGCCTTTTAAATTCGAAAATGGATAATATTTAAGTGCAAAATTCGAATTTAGAAGCATTTTGACAGCCCTACCGTGATCCCTAGGGGTGGATGTCGCTTCCGGAGCGCCGTCGTCTTTCTTCGGATGGATGGTCTTCATCGCCAGGCCTGATTCTTCCTCGTCCGAGTCGTCTTTATCGCTGTCCCACTTAAGATCCAGAGGCTCGTCCTGCAGGGTGACAGACGGCTGGCTCCAGTCGAAACTGAGCACAGAGTCCGACTGGCTGTCCTCTCTGGGAGACGAGAGCGAGGACACGGACTCCAAGCCGTTGAGAACCGGCCACGGAGCCGAGGCCTGGTCTTCACGCTCGCTCGACGACTCGGGCGAATTCTCGCATGGCTTTGAGCGCTTCACGACCTTTGGCATTTTGGAGAGCACCTCTAAAGCCAGCATGGGGCAGCCGGCCTGTAAGTGTGCATAAGCGGCGGTGAAGAAGAGCCTCCTCTCTGTGAGGCTGATGGCGCGGCCTTCAGCGGTCAGACCCACTTTAGCTTTATCACAGGAGCCGAAGTGACGGCGCAGCAGCAGCGGGTGTGTGCGGAGGTAGGTGTAGAAGTTAAAAACATCAGGACTACAGGGAGACGATCCGGTTCCTGAAAGAGATCGAGTCCTGTCAGTAACATTCAGTTCTGGAAGCACATTAGGAGGAAAACAAAAATCTCTTAGAATAAAGGCTCTACCGCTGTCACCTTTGGTTTGCTTAGTTCGGATTTCAAGTATTAGTTCACTTCCAGAATAAAAATCTCCTGATAATTTACTCACCCCCGTGTCATCCAATATGTTCATGTCTTTTTTTCTTCGGTCGCAAAGAAATTAAGGTTTTTGAGGAAAACTTTCCAGGATTTTTCTCCATATAGTGGACTTCAATGGGGATCAACGAGTTGAAGGTTAAAAATGCAGTTTCAGTGCAGCTTCAAAGAGCTCTACACGATCCCAGCCGAGGAATAAGGGTCTTATCTAGAGAAATCATAGCTCATTTTCTAAAAAATAAAATAAAATGTATATACTTTATGCATGCATGATGCTGTTTTGTTTATAATTGTTTAAGCAAATACATATTTGCACATGCACTTTTTCACAGATAGTCATGTTATTTTATTGCTTTGAAGAAACGTGCATTAGTAATATTTTGCTTGATGCGCCCTCTTGTGGAGAGAAGCCAAAAGCAGTTTTCACCCTAACTGAAATCATGCCTTTTAAATTCGAAAATGGATAATATTTAAGTGCAAAATTCGAATTTAGAAGCATTTTGACAGCCCTACCGTGATCCCTAGGGGTGGATGTCGCTTCCGGAGCGCCGTCGTCTTTCTTCGGATGGATGGTCTTCATCGCCAGGCCTGATTCTTCCTCGTCCGAGTCGTCTTTATCGCTGTCCCACTTAAGATCCAGAGGCTCGTCCTGCAGGGTGACAGACGGCTGGCTCCAGTCGAAACTGAGCACAGAGTCCGACTGGCTGTCCTCTCTGGGAGACGAGAGCGAGGACACGGACTCCAAGCCGTTGAGAACCGGCCACGGAGCCGAGGCCTGGTCTTCACGCTCGCTCGACGACTCGGGCGAATTCTCGCATGGCTTTGAGCGCTTCACGACCTTTGGCATTTTGGAGAGCACCTCTAAAGCCAGCATGGGGCAGCCGGCCTGTAAGTGTGCATAAGCGGCGGTGAAGAAGAGCCTCCTCTCTGTGAGGCTGATGGCGCGGCCTTCAGCGGTCAGACCCACTTTAGCTTTATCACAGGAGCCGAAGTGACGGCGCAGCAGCAGCGGGTGTGTGCGGAGGTAGGTGTAGAAGTTAAAAACATCAGGACTACAGGGAGACGATCCGGTTCCTGAAAGAGATCGAGTCCTGTCAGTAACATTCAGTTCTGGAAGCACATTAGGAGGAAAACAAAAATCTCTTAGAATAAAGGCTCTACCGCTGTCACCTTTGGTTTGCTTAGTTCGGATTTCAAGTATTAGTTCACTTCCAGAATAAAAATCTCCTGATAATTTACTCACCCCCGTGTCATCCAATATGTTCATGTCTTTTTTTCTTCGGTCGCAAAGAAATTAAGGTTTTTGAGGAAAACTTTCCAGGATTTTTCTCCATATAGTGGACTTCAATGGGGATCAACGAGTTGAAGGTTAAAAATGCAGTTTCAGTGCAGCTTCAAAGAGCTCTACACGATCCCAGCCGAGGAATAAGGGTCTTATCTAGAGAAATCATAGCTCATTTTCTAAAAAATAAAATAAAATGTATATACTTTTTAACCACAAATGCTCGTCTTGCTCTAGCTCTGCGATGCGCATGCGTACTCTGGTTCAGAAAGTTAGTAAGTTGTTTCATTTTCATCTCCAACTTCAAAATCGTCCCACATCATTGTTTTACCTTTATTGTAAATGGCATTTGGCCTTCTTTACACGTTCACTTTGAAAACAATGGGTCGGTGCTTCCACCGACGGTGTCGGACGATTTTGAAGTTGGAGGAGAAACTGAGATGGAGTTTTTCTACCCTAACTTTTTGTTGAAAAACGGTGGAAAAAAGCATGCGCATCGCAGAGCTAGAGCAAGACGAGCATTTGTGGTTAAAAAGTGTATACATTTTCACTAGATAAGACCCTTATTCCTCGGCTGGGATCCTGTAGAGCTCTTTGAAGCTGCACTGAAACTGCATTTTTAACGTTGCGTTGATCCCCATTGAAGTCCACTATATGGAGAAAAATCCTGGAAAGTTTTCCTCAAAAACCTTAATTTCTTTGCGACCGAAGAAAGAAAGACATGAACATATTGGATGACGCGGAGGTGAGTAAATTATCAGGAGATTTTTATTCTGAAAGTGAACTTATCCTTTAATATTCAGATATATTTTCGATTTAACTGCACTGACCCTATCAGATGAGAACAAAACTAGAACTGAATTGATCTGAATAATGACTCCATCGTCTTCTGTAGAGCAGCGTCACAGCTGAAACTGAATTAATTTCATAGTTGATGAATTTTTCAACATTAAAGCCTCGTACACACCGGGACGATTATCGCCGGCATTTTTCGACGCGTCTTTTGTGTTCATACCCAAGCGATTTTCGCAGGCGATGAGCCGAGTGAACATGCAAATTCACTCCCTGACATTAGATGGCGCTTAATGAATACCAGAAATACCCCGGTACACATCGAATCCTATTTGTTCTGCAATTCCTCTCCATAACAACTCCCTCTTATCGAGATTTTTGTAGTCGCTGTCGCTAGCCCTTTGTGTTCAGACACCAATGAGACCAGCAGCTCTACATTCATCTTGCCTCGATGCATCTTCTTGGTCTACTTACTTCCTCTTCGTCGTTAGGTATCAATGTGTGCTCGGCAAGACCGTTTTGTGCTTGAGCGCCACCAAGTCGTGTTTTACTGTAACTTCAGCAGCTCCAGGCACGTGAACAAAAGCGCCAATCTCATTGGTCGGCCAGTTTTTAACGCGGCGTGTCAAACCAAAAAAACGAGCCCGAGGCGGTTTTTAAAAAATGACGCTTTTACACCTCGCGCTTTGCGCGTCGGTGTGCACACTCACATTGGTGCCCTTTGTTTAGTCACAAGGCGTTAAACGTCGTCGATAATCGCGCGCGATACTCGTCCCGGTGTGAACAAGCCTTTATGCTGTTATTAAACTGAACTGAATCAACACTGAGCTGAATTGATCCGAATGACACTATTTTCTTCTGTAGAGCTGCTTCACAGCTGAATCGAATTTCAAATTCAGAATCGCAGAATCAAATTTGTTTTATAATTGATGAACTTTGACACTGTTATTGAACTGAAATGAATCAACATTTAACGGAATTTAGCTGAATTATGACATTATTGTCTTCCGTAGAGCTGCTTAACAGCTGAAACTGAAATCATTTCATAGTTGATGAATTTTACAAAATGAACACTGTGATTGAACTGAACTGAATCAACACTGAGCTGAATTGATTCAAATAATGACACTATTGTCTTCTGTAAAGCTGCTTTATAGCTGAAATTGAAACGTTGCAAGGATAAATAACCAGCCGGCAAGTATAGCCGATGTTTATGCTTCGTAAATCAAGAGAAGCATAAATCATGATTAAAACAATTGATTGTGTAGCCCTATGAGTTTCCATAATCGATTGCATTATTCTCCTGTTGATCTCTGTGAAGCTCTCACCTTCATGTGACGTGTCTGCATTGGGCTCGAGCAGCGTGTCCAAAGCCCTGCTGTAGTCATCTAAGACCCAGTACGCCATGCTGCGTAAGAACGGGTCCTGATGGGCCGCGATCTGGTGATCCTGACCCAACACATGCCTCTGCAGGATTCGCTTGTAGCTGCAGGACATCTCGAACTCAGACTCATACAGCCGACAGACCACCAGAGCCAGCTGAAGGTCCTGCATCTTCTCTATACAAACCTGATCGAGCGAGTAAAACCGACAGATCATGAGAACTGATAGGAAGATTAAAGACTGCAATCCTGATGCTTATACTTTCCTTCTTGTTTCAGAAGCTCATGACAGAGGAAGGTTTCAGAGAAGAACATAAACAGAACAGATGCAAATGTACCTCAACAGCATCTTTCAGGGATCCGGCCAGCAGAAAGAAAGCCGCTGAATGCTGGAAACGTTGCTTTCCGAGCAGAGAGAAAGCGTTCTTCAGCGCTGCCTTCCTCCAGCGGTCTTCACTGAAGTTATTGCTGAAGAACGCCGTCATCTTCACGTTATGGTGGGACCTTCAACACACAGGAGCTCTCAGTGGACTGAAGCCTCGCTGACAGACAGAAAATTAACAAAAATAAATGCATAACTAAAGTTTAAGTTTTGTTCAGTCATCTCAATGTAACTCAAGGTGCTGACAAACAAAGACGCTGAATATTGTGGCTGAAGACATGCATCTGATGCACAGAAGAATAATTAAACAAGCAGCAGCTACAGACTGAGCTGACCTGTGTGAGAGTTTATGACTAGATTATGAGTAGATTTAGCATTATATATAAACTTTTAAAATGTATAGTCCACACTGTGACAATAACACCTACAAAGTTTTATGTCAATATACAGAAGCATTGCAGAGATACAAATTATTTATGTATATTTGATGTATGTTTAATATTTGATGCTTGAGGTTAGGTTATGATATACCAGTTACAAGCTAAAAACAAGTTCTAAAAGTTTGGGGAAACAACTCAAAATTTGCCATTTTGAGAACTGTTCAATAACTGTTTACGGACTGCCACAGACTAATGCAGAACAATATAGGGAAAGCTAACAGATACAGTAGATGCCTATGGTGCTTGACCCCTAATAACTCCACAGCAGAATGCATGCAACTCCAACACAGTAAAACATGAATGTGTACGTTATTTACTGAAATATCCTGGATTATTATATATCCTGCCAATTTTGGCAAAATCTACTCATCATCATCTAATATGCACAGAAAATGGGCTCAGTTTGGTCAAACGCGCACTGAACACGCACTTTGGCCGGTACAGAAAATTTATTATTATTTTACATGTATATGTAGAGCTTATGTAGGCTCTACAACAAAGGAATTGCTGATCTCTAGTGATGTCTAATTTGTGTAATAGATCATTTGTTAGTAAAGGGTGAGAGATCTGGCGATTTTTGTCAAAGAGCCAGGTGTGGCTCGCGAGCCATAGGTTCCCGACCTAGTGAAGACAATGAAAGTGTTTTTTGACCTTGCATGCATGTCAACCTGTTGTTGGGGACTCCCAAAACCAAAATATGAACCTTTCATAACCCATAATAGGGGCACTTTAATGAATAAGTCATTGAGTCGTTCATTCATTTGATTCGTTCAAATGGCTGATTCATTCAGGAATGAAGTAAATGGCTCTCTTTATGAATAGCCCATTGAATCATCGATTCATTCAAAACGCGGAATCATTCAGAAATTGTGTGCTGCTTAGAGATGCACAACAGTTCTGCACGATATTAAATTATTTTACTTTTTTTTTTAACTGTTGTAAAAAATCAGTATCATGCTATTCGGGACAAAAACAGCACTCGTGTGATATTGAACTCGATGCTCATGTGATGTTGATTAACTACATCATGATATAAATATGAGACAAAAACTCATATAGGGGCATTTTTCTCTTGAATTTTGGGGGCATATACAGTGGTGGCCAGAATTATTAGAACACTAGTATATTCACCAGCTAAAAAAATAGTTTTAATTCAATTATTTCTATCTTTTGCTGTAGTGTGTCAGTAGAAAATATCAGTTTACATTTCCAAACATTTAATTTTGCCAATAATTGTAATAATGCTCAAATCTCACTGCATTGTTACAATTAATGGCCAAATGAATGTTTGGAAATGTAAAATGATATTTCATTCTGACACACTACAGCAAAAGATAGAAATAACTGACTTAAACACATTTTTAGCTGCTGATAATACTAGTGTTCTAATGATTTTGGCCACCACTGGAAGTGCATTCTATCATAACACAAATGATGTCCCTACAAATGAAAACTGCACTTATATCAGTTAAAGACACTGACCTTGGCCTTTCTGTACAATATGAACCAAGATGACATACACTGCAAATTTATGCTCTGCTATCCTGATTTAATCTATGATAAATCCAAAAAATGCACTAAGAATGCCTATTTTTCTCCCCAAATCCTCATGTCTCTTTCCAGATTTGTTCTCACACAGATGCTTTAAAACATGACTGTCTCCTGTTTTCACTTCTAATCCCTATTAGCAGTGATATGGAATAATCAGAACATCATGCATGATCTCATCATCAAAGGCACACAGAGGTGGTTTGCGGTCACCTGCAGCAGGTGATACACGAATGACTTCAACGCCCTGCGGCAGATCCAGCTCCTGGCTGAAGACTTTTGTGTTGGTCAGAGTGAGGCGGCAGGCGCTCTGGAGGTTAGACGTCTTCAGTTTGGGTCTCGGGGTTTGTGGTGAGCCGACCGTCTCAAAGTTAAATGATGGAGACACAGTCTCTCTGTCTGGAGTTTGAGTTTGCTCTGAAAGAACGACACAAATCTGCAGTTCAGTTGACAGAAAAATCAATCACTTGCTCTGTCTTTTCTTTACGGGTGACATTATAATTAGTGGTTGACTGACATGGATTTTTTAATGGCCAATGCAGATGCCAACATAAAGCCGATATATATATATCACATGCATGACAACTGCACAAACTAAATGGAATTTATTTTGCATAATATTATATAAAAATATTTAAAAAAATGTTAACTTCATAAAAAATAAAACTGTAAAATAAAAAGATTTATTTAAATGGCATACAGTATAGTACACATACGGTATATTTCACAAATAAAGAAATATGAATAAAAACACTGTAACTAACAGTGAGTGCGCTCAGCAATTTGGTAAACTGTGTGCGCTGTCAAAATAAAAGTCCAAGTATCTGTAAAAAAAGAAAGAAATTATTGACCGATATTGGCCGATATATCGGGCGACCGCTAATCATAATCATTAAAGCAGTGCTCATGCTGTTATTTAGGCTTTGTTTGATCAAACTGCAAAAACTTTTCACAGTCCAATCAAGTGTGTGTCTCATTATATACCATCAGTGTTGGGGAGTAACTTGTTACATGTAACGGCGTTACGTAATTTAATTACAAAATAAATGTAACTGTAATCAGTTACAGTTACTAAGAAAAAATGTGTAATTAAATTAGTTACTTATGAAAATGTTAACGATTACAAAACGGGTTACATTTGAATACTTACACACATCCACATACAGATTTAATTGATTTCTTTCCCAAATTGCACAGACTACTCTAAAATATGAGACATACGGCCCTATGATTTCGCGATGCGGAAAACGTAGAATGGTTCGTAGAATCCAGTCATAAAAACGGAACTCCTATAATGCGGAATGTCACAGAATATGCCACATTTTGGATGAATAGATCAAAAGTAGGTCAGTACACTCGAATCAAAATTCGAGATGGACTACAGTCTGTGAATATTAAGCCGCAAAAATACAATATATGAACCTTGCACGACACGTTCTGCGCATCTCTGTGCAATCAGGCGCGGACTGGCCATCGGGAGAACCGGGACAATACCCGGTGGCCTGGCAGCCGATTTGACCCGCTTTTTTAATATTATTATTATTATTATTATATAACTGCCTGCCAAATGTACTAAATCAATTATTTCCGACTTCGCCATTCGATAATAAATCTCTAATAAATAATGAATCGTTTAGTCATGACCAGTACCGCCGCTCCCTATACGCAGAGTACGCAGTTTACGTAGGGCACCATCCCAGTTGCTCAAAAAAAACTTTCGTTCTATATTAATATTAAAATTAACACATACACTACCGATCAGAACGATTTTTTATGTTTTTACAAGAGTTTCTTCTGCTCATCAAGGCTGCATTTATTTGATCAAAAATACAGGAAAAAATGTAATATTGTGAAATATTATTATGATGTAAAATAACGTTTTTCTATTTTAATATACATTAAACTCTAATTTATTCCTGTGATGCAAAGCATCATAACTCCAGTCTTCAGTGTCTCATGATC